CGTATTGTAGCGAGAGAAGCAATAAAACCCCGGGGCGGCTTTCGAATTTCGGAGCTGGTCATTACGCCACAATAATTACAACAGGTACGTAGCGTATAATTTGCGGCCGGGTCCTTCCTTTGTATCGATGAATCGTCGTATTGCCTCCCTCGCTCGCTCGCACATTGAACCTCCACTCTCCGGGTTCTCCAAACTCAAACTGTACGTGTCCGATCGTAGAACCTTTTGCGGCGCCCTTTGTGTCCAGGAGGAATAAGGCAAAGGCAAAGGCAAAGGCAAAGGCAAAGGCAAACGCATCTGCGGAGCTGCTGGCGACACCGAAGATTCTCACAGTCTATCGCACGAAGCGGATAACAATAACCCTGGAGCCCTATCGTAATCCCTCGTTTATTTACAACGTTTGTATAATACCGATACGGAGGCGTAGCCAGCAGGGAACCGGGTGATACGGGAAGCACGAGGGAGGCCATCTGCCGTATATCCGTCAGGCTAAGCTGCCCGTCTGAGTGATAACTTAGATAGGAAATAACGGAGACCTCCACCTTCTTCCTGGGCTCCTTCTCGGGTGAGAACAAAAGCTTCTCCCTCGTCCGTCTTCGGATCCGCCAGATCCTTAGCCAAAGTCGATAGCCGGACGCGTCCGTGAGTCTTTGCCCTCGCAAATTGTCTCCGCGCAGCTGGGCTGAATCTTGGAAGACGTAGGCTGAGGAGACTTTGGTCACGTCACGCGTGTCTCTGTCTCTCTGAGAGAGAGAGAGAGAGAGAGAGAGAGAGAGAGAGAGAGAGAGAGACGACGAAAAGCACAGAGAGGCTTGCATTCAGAGGTGTGTGCGAGCCTTATATATGTAACACGTGTATGCTTGCAGGATCTTGAATGGAAATGTGGGGGTCAAAGATTACGATCTGCATTATCGGAGTAAGTGAACCGCGAACACGTTTGCTCGCCTCGTACGTGCGCGTACGATATTGTTTAAGTAGCGTGTTCGTGAACCGCGCCATAAATAACACCTATAGCCTTAATGCAAAATGAGCGGCCGATTTATTCGTGGCGGAAACTCGTGGCTGACTCCATTTTCGCGTGCATTATTTATTCGTTGGTTGCGCCGACACAGCACACGCACACGCACACGCACACGCACACACACTCTCTCGTGTGTTGCGCAACTGCGCGATTCCAGGAGGCAGGGAGATCGGCGCCACTCGGTTACTTTCGGAAAAACTCGGGAGGACAGCCGAATTAAAAAAGTGTCAGCGAAGGAGCAACAAGCGTTGACCAGCTACGATGTAAATTCGCCGAAGCCAAAATCGTTCGAGCGGCAAGACTCGTAAACAAGGCGAAATGTCGACGAGAGACTCGACAGACACGAGGAGACTAGAAGCTGAGAAATTACGCAAGCAAATGTCTCGCAGTCACTGAATCGTGATGCGAAGTACGCGCCTTCGAAAAGCGAACCTCGTGACGCGTGCGCGTCGATACAGTCGCCTAATCTTACTGCAAAATGAAGCAAGTCGATGACACGAGGCTCGCGGGACTTTAGAATTTCAAATGTCCGAGTGAGTCGACTGATGCAACCAGAGATCTATTTTTGATCGTTGATCGATCAGTTGCAAAATTTCGAGTCGTGCGTGTCATGTGTGGGATCGTGGATCGTCTCGTTTGCTGCACACGTGATACACTTTTAAAAGGGGATCTCGTATCGGTCTACCTGACACATTGAAACTTGTCCTCGGGTATACCTACTACCAATGGGGAAGCGACGGACGGAGAAAGAGGATACAGATGGGTCATGACGTCATGAGAAACTTTTTCCCTAGGGATTGGAATTCACGTCCTCTTTACCGATTCGGATCGGATCGATTTCACTCGGTTGGACAAAATCAGACTTTCGCTGTCGGAATATTCTTTGGAATTACGGGGACGCGGGGACGCATGGCCGCTTTCGGAACGGAGTCGGGGGAACGTGAGAAGGGTCGTCGTAGAAACCTAGAGCGCGCACAAGCGATTCGAGAACTCGCCGGAAGCGCGAGCGCGCTGAGCAATGCAAATGAAAACGCGACAGATTGGAATCGCCGCGTCGCACTGACGACTTTGCTTCAAAAGTGCGCTCGACGCAGTGCGAGAGTTCAAAACGTCAGTCGGGCTGAGCCTGACGCATTCCCGTCAAGTTTTCAACGGGCGTTCGGGATTCGCTGGTTCAGGTCCGTTTGTAAATTTCGTATTTCCGTAGATTATCGAAAAGGTTCTTTGCCGTCCTAATCGCATCTGAGCCGCACGATACGTTCGTGCTCGCCCTGCGCTTAATTCCCCAATTTGAAAATGCGACGAGTCCCGATCTATATGTATGTACATGATATATGTCTGGCTAGATCAGGGCAGACACACTGCCCAATTAGCCCTCGTTGCCGGTTTGCTCGGAGGGCGCAGGGATCGGGCTCCGATAATCTCCGAGCGATGGCTGAGACGACGCTGTGGTGCCGCATTCGAGTGGAGAGGGCCGGGAGGGGGGAGGCAGGTAGACAGAAGTGAGGGGAGGATCTGTCCTTAGCATTCGAAGCTTCGAAAAGGAAGGCCGAACAAAGAGTTCACGGCGGAATGAGCGATGACCCGCGTCCCTGTGTGCGAATCGTGCGAATCGTGCGAATCGTGCGTGCGGGCTGCGAGGAGACGGCCGACTTGCCGATTGCGCAATCGCCTCTAGCGCTGCGCTTCCTGCTCCTGTCGATGACGCTCTTGTCTTTACGAGGACAATGACCATCACGAGGATGCGCATGATGCTGATGACGAGTATGAGGACCGCAGCGATGGTGCCGTTGATGCCGTTGATGTCGATGGCAGAGTGCTCGTGTCGTTGTGACTGCATTCCGTGTAGGGCCGCCGCGTGACTGCGACGTCTGTCCCTCCTTTTCTCTGTCGGTCTCGCTGTGTTCGCTGCGACGTCCGACTGCGTGCGAGTAGCGTAAAACGTGGCTGAACGAGGAGGCACTCTATGGAAGCAGCAGCCACGCACGCGGCCACGTTTCAACTGGAAATCCTCCCGTAAGGAGACATGCGATGCGATAGAGGCGTATCGAGTCCCGTGTACGGCGCGGCTGCGCACGTCACACGCACGTCACACGCACGTCACACGCACGTCCAGCACGTCTAGTCTTCCGTGCACGCGGACACACGCTATAGGCGCCGCTGTGCAATCTTCAAATAGTCCGATTCCTACCGATAAAGTCGTCTCTGTGTTCTGCGACTTCAAAATGCTCCTCCGATATTCGTCGACGCGGAATCCGCGCGTAAGAAACTGCGATTAGACTTTTGGTAGCAGCACGTAGCTATGGTTGCTCGATAATCAGGACTGATAAACTTAGGGCTTGGTCGCTTTCGACCGGGCTCATTATTTTCTCAAGTCCTTTTCCAGGATCGAAGGAATTTTAGTTCGGCGATGTCACTGCAATACCTACGCATCTACGTGTGGAATGCAAGTTCCGAGAGCGAAGGAGAGAGATAGAGAGATAGGGAAAGAGAGAGAGAGACGGATGATCGCTTTCGGTAAAGCTGCGGAGACGCGAGTCGAGTGCATAATGCATCGTCCGCGCTCGGGTCGCTGTCCTCTTTCGTAAATATTAATGACGGAACTTTTTCCAAGGAAGCGCAATAGGACTGACGCGACGACGGATGCTCGTGGCGACGCCGCGCACCAGCCGTCGGCAACGCGAACTCTCGGGAGCCTAGAGGATCTGCGACGTAGAGGATCTGCAGAAGGAAACTCCCTCGGTCAGGACGACCGTACCAGGCTCCGGCTAGGAGGTCGTCTTCCTTTGTTAGGGGGGTGTAGACCTTTGCGCTAGTCCGACTCTCGAGGGTGGCGCGGGTCCAAGGAAGTGGTAAGATCTTAGTCGAAAGAGATCGAAGGAAGTAGGAGGTAGCTGGCAAAGTGGATCGTCGAGGATCAAAGAACGTCTCTCCGGGACGGGGAGGAAGACTGAAGGCTCGACAGGGGTCGTTGGGACGAAGGTGGGCCGGCATACGAATGCATACGAATGGTGGTTCGGACTGTTCAAGTGGGATGCGACGCGGGCGGGCTTATTACATATAACGCGGGCCCAGACGTTGAGTACGGCGCTGGCGTCGCCGTTCGGTGCTGGTGGGTGCAACGACGCTGGCACCGCCGCCGGCGATAATAGCGATGGTGACGATGCGGCCCAGCTGGAACGAGGGAGACCCTTAATTAAACACCCATCCATTGTCTATAAAAATGTCGCGTTGTGCCAAAACAGCTCTTTGAATCGATTTCCGGCTATGGCGCTGGGTGGCGGAGAGCGACGCAGGGCGTCGGAGGGCGCCACTCCTTCCAGAGAGAAAGAGCTGCCCTGCCCGTGGGCCAGGGTGGTGGCAGACGGGGCAGACGGGGCAGACGGGGCAGACGATAGGAGCGTCACCGGGGTTGAAGGGGTCGCCGGTTTCCCAGACGGCGAGCCCCACTATTTCGCGGCGGGGTACGCTCTGTTCTGGGCAAGGAGACGCAGGGCCGACAATCGACCCTACCAAGAACCCCGGCCTTTCGCGGTTTCATTCGGCAACGCGGATGTTCTGCCGATAAATCTCGATGCTCCCCATTTTTCGTTGATCCGTCAGTATATGAATCGATCGCCGGTCTTACCCACTACTAAATGCGACACACGAAATAACGATGATTCTTCGAATGACACATCTGATAATTTTTGGAGGAAGAGGAAGAGGCCTTAAAATGTCTCATACAATTTTCTCATTGAATCTCTTAATGTAAATGAGAAGGGAGAGCATTTTGGAATAAGAAAGTTGATATTTCGGAATTAGTTTTACACAATGAATAACGGGAGCCCCGATGGGGTGGGGTCTTGTGCCGGCCCTGACAAGGATGAACGGATGCAATGGTGGGGGCGATGATTCGGCGGAAGGTAGGAGAAATTTGAGAAGTGGGGGCACCAGGAGTAGGGATAACGAGTGTGCGGTGGGGATTAAGCGGGGGCCAGGGCTTCAGTCGTAGCTCGACACTCGGCGCGAGACGGTCGAGCAACTTTGCAGTGAGACCATATTACATAATCACGTCACGTACACACACGTTTACACACACACGTACACAAACATTAAACACTGTGCATACACATACACACATGTACACGACGTGACACGAACGCGAGTAAATGAAAGTATTCGCGTACACTCTCGTCCCGCCGTGAAAATAGACACCAGTGCGTGCGTGCGTGTGGAGTGCATCTGTGCCGCAGGATCGTACACTCGTCGTCGCACAAGGTACGATTACACGCCTGAAGGAGTTAACAGTGTACACATAGCCGTCTCTTGCTATCGGTCAGACGGATGTGCGTGGACATGAGTGTGTGTTAAAACGTGCAGGTAATTGAAAGCACGGATTTATACGCGCGTCCGTGCTCTTAGGCGGAAACTTGGAGCTCCCGTCGACACTCGACTGACATGTTTAAGTTATAGATGTGTGTGTGTGTGTTCCACAGCCGCTGGTCCATCCTCGGGCCGACTGTCGAAATCCCGAAATCGGAGGAAAAAAACGTCTGTCGTGTCGGTGTGAATGCGAGTGCTTGAGCCAGTGATTGCGAACGGAGATCGCGTAGTGTGGAGTTTCTGCAAGTTTATGTTATTTTTGTTTGACTACTTGCACGCTTGTGGTTAATATATGTGCATATACGCGTGCTGTGGGAGCATACGAGTGTAACACCAAGGCCATTTTGGTTTCGGATAACACCGTGGAAATATTTTGAGGACTTTCCTTGGTCTTGGATATATCCCCCCTTTGGTCCAAGCCCGGGTAAGAACCTCCCGTCGTCATCCTCATCCTCATCGTCACTTCCATCATTTTTTCCTTGAAGCGCAACGTGGATTTTTAGTGTCTTGGTCCGAAATATTTGCGAGCAAGTGTCTGTGCGGTTTACTTGCGACCTCAGGATACGGTGTTGCTTGTGTGCGAGGCCGGATCGACTGGATCCACGAGGAGTGAGCAGACGACGTGCAGAACCGCATGGAGAGGTAGGCAGGAAGCTGCTTCTCTGGCGAGATATCGAGTATCCTGTGGTATCCCGACAAGGAGAGGCTGATTCTAAGTGACGAAGGTGTAGCAGAAGAGCGAAGAAGAAGGGAAGCAGCAGGGCGAGAGAGGGGGCGTGAGATCCTGAAGAGGAGAGTCTTCGAGAATCGTGAGATGAGAGTCTAGCGATCGCCGTCGAGTTTCCAGCCCGACGGTCATTCGGGTGTAGCAGAAGACGCACGGATTGCCGGGGAGTCGGCATCAACATGGCCGCCGCTTGCTACGAAAAGGAAGTGGTGGTCGGTGCAACGCACGGACATGGGCACCACGAGGTGACATCCACTCCGGCGCCACCGGGCCAGACCGTACTACCCCCAGCTGCCACGGCGATCGGCAGCGCTGCCGCCGCTGCTGCCACAACAACTACCTCCACCAGCAGCTCAGCCTACAAGGAGTACAAGGAGTACAAGGAGGTGACCACCTACAAGGACTACTCGCAACCGCTCCACGTCGACTGTAGCGTAGAGTATGAGCTCCCGAGTCAGGCGAAGCCACCTCCGGGTGGTGGCGAGCCACTTCTTATGATACATCCCTGTTACTATCGACGAGCCGAGCGCGAGAGACGAAGTCCCTTCGTGAACAACCTTCCGCCACCCACTAGCACTCCGATATCCTTGAGTCGGAGCAGGACGAGCAGGAGGAACACCTCGACGGTCGCCACTTCCGGCACGAGCCTCACCACCTCGAGTCTCTCGACGGCAGCAGCGCAGAACACGGCATCATCCTATCACGCCGCCCTGACCGCCGCCGCGACCCTCACGCATCAACATCAGCAGCAGCAGCAGCAGCAACAGCAACAGCAGCAGTCGGTGGCACCATCCGCATCCGCCCTGATCTCTGCGGACGAGAAGGCCGTGATATCAGGTATTTATCAGCACTACTTCCGCGCAATGCGCGCCCACCACCAGCACCAAAGCGCGAGCAGTTCCTCGACGACGCCGAGCTCCAGCGTTCTCCAGCAGACTTATCACCAAGCCTACGGTTCGACGACCTCGGGCTCGAGCGCGTCGCACCATCACGCTCACCATCCCTATCGACGACCGACGTCCCGGGCGTCGCACCTTGGCCAACACGCGGCTTCCGTCGCGACTTCCGGCGTCTCCAGCGTTTACGCCACCGCGATGCACAGACACCACGCGGCGTCCCTTCACGCCTTGCAGGCCGCCGGGTTTTACGAGGCGCCAGCCTATCACGCCCTTCTGCCCCAAAGCTAGGACGGTCATCGACATTTCGCCCCCTCCTCCCCCTCCCCCTCCTCCTCCTCCTCCTCCTCCTCCTCCTCCTCCTCCACCTCATCGTCGTCCTCGACCTCGACCTCAACTTCCTTACGTCAACCTCAACACCCATTGCGTTCGCTTTATCCATCCTCGGTCCAGCACGTCATCTCGTCGATCCCGTACTTGAGCAACACCATCGTCGATCCCATATTCACGTCCAACGGCGGCACTAGCACCTTGGACCACACCCACGTAGACAAGAGGTCACGAGAATCGACGGCAACACCTCAACGCGAGCTCCTACGGCCGAGAGAAGTTTATCGCTACTATTAATTATTAATTGTTCTTATTATCATTGTAATTTAATGTTTAGCCATTGTACGTGTAGGCATATACGCTTAACGGACAGACGGACTGAAGGGACTGACGGGACTGACGCGTGCCGATAGGAGGTTATATTCTTCAGCGACGAACCTACGTAATGCGAGCGGCGGAGACGCGCATGGCCTCCCGATTCTTTCGAAGTCATCCGATCATCCGGAAGGACATCGTCCACGCCGAAGCCGAAGTTCGAACGATTTTCTAAAGATCTCTGCGCCTTTTGCATTCACCGTAATCAACTGACAATCACTGACGAAGCCAGAGCTCGTGAAGTTTAAAGATAACGAGAACGACGGTTTAGCAAGCATCGCGAACTGTCGATGCGAAGTCGAAGTGGCATTTCCGCGCGCGCTAGAGAGAGAGAGAGAAGACCGAGTTCGTCTTCGCGGCGGTTTCTTTTACGGTGAATGCATATGGGGTTTATCACGCGGCACGTGCAAGTAGCAAAGAGACCAAAAAAAAGAAAGAAAAAGAAAAGTAAAAAGGATGAAAAAGAGTCGAAATATTTGCTGAATGAAAATCGATCTGTTCTCTCGGCTCTGGCGAGGAGCAGCACGTACGGGAGACACGAATTATTTGACGAATTGTCTCCTCGGGCTCTGAGGCCTCGTCGATGCGCCTAATACACGTACATACACATATAGTTTCCACCTAGCTATACGTAGTGTGATTTCCATAACGAATTTAATGGCGAGCCGATTCACGAAGTGTGAGTGGCTTCTTTTCCAAGTTATTTCTGTTCCTCGGATGCGCGGAGCTCCTTATGTTCTCGGAAAAAGTTGCTTCGGATTGAGGGATCGAAATGTGTTAGCGAGAGTGATAGTCCAGAGCCTGATAGTCCAGTGCGAGAGGCAGGAAGTTTTCTAACTCACCGAATCGCAACGAGAGAGAGAGAGAGAGAGAGAGAGAGAGAGAGAGAGAGAGAGAGAGAGAGAGAGAGAGAGTGAGTGAGTTGCGTGTGTGTGTGCGACGGATGGACACGGAAGGAACGATTTGCGATGCGAATGAAAAGAAAGAGAAGTAGTGAAAATAGTGGAAGAGAGGGAGAGAGAGGGCCGGGTGAAAGTGTGTCAGGGTCCTTCGATGCCAAAATCTCACGTTAGAGTGCGTAATTGGCCTTTCCACTTATTACTACATTTTTATAAAGTTCGTTTTGGCGAGGCGCGAGTGCCGATTACTCGTGCGATTTCTTTGTAATAATCGGAGCGAAAGACTGCTAATCATGAAGATATTTATAGCGGACGCTTACGGTCCTTATCTATAATTGGCTGGAAGCGACGTCCACGGGTGACAGTTCCAAAAGCAACCAAGAAGTCAACACAGAAAGAGCGAACAGGAGTCCTGGAAATTATGAAACGTGCTCGCAGGAGCAGATTCATCTTAGAATCGGTTTTACGTGTAATTCGCTTTTCGTATCGTCGCGTCTTGTGGATTCTGCGATCTTTCCTTCGCGCGCTGAGACAGAGAAGAAAAATTGAAAAATTGATCCGACACGACGACGCAACGTCAATGCGCCCATTCACTCGCCACTTCGCCGACTGAATCTGATCTTCTTCTCTTATCTCCCGATTAAAGCATTCCGCTTGCTGGTGCGCTTACTCGATACGTTCCTTTCCGATGCGACTGAACCTGCGTGGCTGGCTGCGGGCCCTTCGTACGCTGCCCCCTGTTCCTTCGGAGCCACTTAACATTTTCTCCTGGACTCCATTTTCGTTTTTTTGCAAGAAAATCGCGACCCGGTCAACGCGACGATCGATCGCCGATACGACTCTGAGACGACGAAAGGCGTCTCTCTTGCTCAGAGAGAGAGAGAGAGAGAGAGAGAGAGAGAGAGGCGCCATTTCCTTGAGGGAGACTCACGTCGGACGGAAGTCGTGCTCGTCATAGAGAAACCAGAATCCGCATCGCATGCACGACTTCCCTCTCGTGGTGCGGGAGCTTCCCGATGGTTCGGGGCTCTTGAGAAATTTTGTATTTTCTTAGAAGAGGGAATCTTTTGGCCCGGAAGAATATCAGCGTTCATCTTCCGTCTCGGCGTCTCCAGTCTCTATTTTCTTTGACGGCTCCTGAGAGAGAGAGAGAGAGAGAGAGAGAGAGAGAGAGAGAGAGAGAGAGAGAGAGAGAGACCAGCTTCGATCTCCGATATCCGACCGCGCGCACCTCCTTGCCCGCCATTCTTCCTTCTCCTCTTCTTCTTACTCTCCTCCTCCTCCGCCTCCTCCTCCTGCTCCCCTCGCAGCAAAGACGAGCTCTTGCGATTCTCTTGACCAGGATCCGTGCGCCTACCTTATACTTACGTTGCCAAATTTGTCAGTCGGTGCGAAAAGTCAAAAGTAGAAAAGGCAGGCAGCAATGAATACCGGCAAGAGGAATCTCTGTAGTTGTCTCTCTTTCTGTCATCTTAACTATTCTCTCTTTTGGTGGCTGCCACTCCACTCGGTCATTTTATCTGTGTCGTCGACTATTATTTTTTTCCGGCTCCCTCGGTCACTTTCGTCTCCACATTTTCTGACTATAGAAGAAGTCGAGGAAAAGTGTCAACACGGATAATTTGTTAATTTCTTTTGTTCATACGAAATATTATTATTACCGAGAGCGAGGAAGAAAAAGAGAAAAAGAGAAAGAGAGAAAGAGAGAAAGAGAGTGACAGTCTGGTGCGGCGATAGAAGATGATGTGGCGCTTGATTCGGTCCAGCCACGCGTATACAGTCCACTAGTGGTATAACTCAGCCTTAAAAAAAATAACGTAAACTGCCTCAGAATATTACTAAATGACAAAAAGAAAGCGCTATGCCCCTTAACTCGACTGAGCAAAACCTACACGTAGTCCATGTTCTGAATAATTGACTATTAATGCTAGAAAGCCGCGAATCGATAGCGATATAGCCTGATAGGATTATGGGAGTTCGATGTCTACGATAAGCAGCTGCATCGCGATGTAATTCATCGCCGCATTAATATATTTCGACGATCCACGTGTGCGTGACAGTTTTTTCTGCGTGACTCGTACTACACATATAGGTATAGAGAGAGAGAGAGAGAGAGAGAGAGAGAGAGAGAGAGAGAGAGAGAGAGGTATGCGTACACGAGAAACAGCAACTGACGAACAGGCGCGCGTGACCTCGTGAACTCGAGTATTCGGTTTGATGTCAAAGTGCGCGAGGAGAAATGAATTTAAAAAATAAGTTATATCCGACCGATAGACTCGGATCATCTAGTATTCGCTTCCTGCAAATTATGAAATCGCTCGTCCGAAGGATTTGACATGAAAATTGACGCGATGACCTCCAACCTCAACTCTATCGTCATCTCTTCCCGTCTCCTCCCCTCCCCGCCCCTCTCCGCCCCTCCCCGTCCCGCTCTCACCGCCGCCACCACTACCACGCTTGTTCTCTTCCCTTTCTTCTCGGCCCTCAGCCTCCTCCCGTATTCGCTCTTCACGCGTCCTACGCGTCCTGTCAGTCATTTCCATGTAAAATTGGCGACAGCGGAAAACCGGGCCGTTCCTTAAATTCGAATATCACCTCGCAATCGACACAGGTGGCTCTAGATTTGACGCAGACTGGCCAAGGACGATGCCCCAATGTAACGATGCGATACATGTTTTACTGCTGCCCTGAACCTGCTTTGACAATGGCAATTGGACTTTTGCACCGATCGATCGTCAATACCAACTGGCAATCAGTTAAAGAGTACATGGGGTGCTTTGCTACTGATTCTTCGGTGCTGGGAAATCGTAGTATCTCGGTATTAGATACTTTATTCGTAAAAGCAGCACGCGCCGTTGCCACGTGGATGCGTCAATATTTGTACATGTAGGAATGGTGCACGATGCTGTCACGTATACGATATCTACTGCCGCAGTGCCAGAGTTTTCCTGCACTGGGCTGTGAAATAGAAGAACAAGCCGCGCATGAATCTTTATCCTGCGAATATCGGAAACCAGGCAGCATGTCCACCCGGAAAGTCCGGAGCCATCGCCAAGCCAGGTTCGAGGGCCGCTGGAGGAATTTTATATGGATCGTCATGACTCTTGCTCCATTTTCCCTCTGCCATCTCTGGCGGCCAAGAAAACGAATACTGGCCTATAGAAATGCCCCGGGAGGGCAGCGCTCAAGATACTAGAAAACGTAAAAGAAATAAAAGAATCCGCTTTCGACGTTTGACAATAAAGAGGGAGTCGCGAAGTTTCTCGGAACGAGACTCTCTCTCTCTCTCTCTCTCTCTCTCTCTCTCTCTCTGTCTGGCTGCATCTCGTCGGGTCTA